CTGAAAACGCAACAGAGACAGGAGATTTACACGAGCCCGAACCGCCCAGAAGTGCGAGTCGAACCAACTCCCGTCGCCCCACTAGAAGCAAACTTTGGGACCACCCAGAGGAAGATCTTCCCCTTTTGGACTCACCGTTGGAGGTGGACTCTAAGACTCCTGTTGCTGATGCCCTTATCAAGAGACTTAAAGATGAGGAAGAGAAGCAGGAAGGTATGAATTTAACTTAAAATATGGCTGTGTGGGAGAAGAAAAGAACAGTCGGTGTGAAGCTGTATGTACCAACGAGTTCAAATTAGTGAAGATTACAAAGAGACTGAATTTATTCTACTGCATGCTGGTTTAACTTGTATGATGTGCATGTAGAATTCAAAATGTGTTGATCTAAAAGTGTAACCTCTTAAACAGATGATGCCATGGTTAAGAAGGCGCTGAGAACAAGCAAGAGGAATAAAAAGTCATCAGTGGAGCAGGTTCACTCCCTGGGGAAAGACTGGCTGGTCCCACAACCTGAGGATGATGAATCCAGTCCAGGCGAGAATTCATTCATCTATTCCCCCTCGCGAAGACGAACAAGAGGTGAGCCGAGTATCAGTTTCTTTATATTTATTTATTTTGCTGTAAATGGTTGTAACCCTTTGTTGTGTCTGTGTCAGCCCGAAGAGCAGATTCCTCTGAACAACGTGAGGCGCCCGTCACTCGCAGCAGAGTCAAAGTGCAGGTAGGAACTTCAACTTTGTTCACACTTGATTTCTTTTTCTATCCTAAAGATAACGAATCTCTTTTTTTTTTTTCTCTCTCTCTTTGCATTTGTTTATTTTGTTTTTATATATCTCCCCCGTCATAGTTATTCTATCAGTTATGAGCCTTTGAACCAGGATGTTGGACGCAGCACACACAAGAGTTTAAACCACTGCTCTACAGAAGCTAGATAACTAAGGGTTGTAACAGAAGTATTGATGAATGAAATGAAAGCTCTTTTGAAGATGCCATTTTTCTCTTTTTTCCAGGATGAAATGTCTTCAGAACATAATGTAGAAGTCGAGAGAGACGCAGGCGCTACTAAAAGCAGCAAAACAAACAAGCGAACTGCCAAGTAAGAAACTACATCCTACACCGAAACGCGGGCAAAAATACAGCGTCATAAAATGAAAGTAAACTATAGATGGATATATCTAGATATCTGTCATAGATAGAGACAGAGAGATATATAGAGAGATAGATCTAGATAGGTGCAGGAAATGCCGCATATATATAAAGTAATGTTCATAAATAGTAAATAGAGGCTGAGGTTTCCTGTTACAAGTCTGTACTGTGGTGGTGTTAATGACCGAGTTAGCAAAACAAGTAAAAATACTTGCATACACAGGTCACCAAGAAGGAAAAATTATTATTATTATTATTATAAATTATTTAATTTATATTCATATGTATGTCAGTTGTATCTGTGTATTTTTCTATTTTGTTTATTTAACATCTATATCAGAATCAGAATACTTTATTGATCCCTAGGGGAAATAATTTTTTGTTACAGTGCTCCATTATAAACAAACATTAACAAAGACAGACAATACACTAACTAAGAATAGCACAGTATATACAGGCATATATATACATAAAAGTCACATATTAACAAAGAAAATGTGCAAGAAGGGTGTAGCTGTTGCAGTAAACAGTGTGTTAAGTGGATGAGTTGCACAGGGAGATGGCCACAGGCAGGAATGATTTCCTGTGTCTTTCAGTGGTGCTTTTCGGTAATCTGAGTCTTGGCATTAATACGGATTATACATCACATTGGCAGGTTTTATTTTAACTGAAATTTCCATCCCCCCAGATCCAAAGCTGTCGCAACGCCGCTTCCCTTTGCAGAAGTCGAACTGATCTCGCCTCTGCCCAGTCCAGTCGATTCGATGCCACGAGCACCGAGGAGGGTTAAAGAGGGAGAGGAACCGACCACCAGCAGGAACCTTCGACGTAAACGTGTCTTGGACACAGTTTTTACAAAACCTGTCACGCGGAGGAAGAAACTATAGGAAGGTTTGCGGCGGTTTTTAACCAGTGAACCTCAGACGGCTGCATGGACATTTCAACCACCTCAGCTGTGAGCTGTCAAATAAAAATGTATGCCCGAACTCGAGACAGTCGCATTTCCTCAAAAGCCTCACAGCGCTGCAGATTCAAGATTGACTTCCCTGTTGGGAGGAAATCAAAAAAGCAATGCAGGCAGAAAAATCTATTTTTGGGACAAGGCACGCTGGTGGTTAGCAGCGTGTGAGAGACTATATTTTTGGAGTTTACATGTACTTCTTTAACTTGATTTCATTCGCTTTTACGTCTGTGGCCATTTTGTGCTCGATGTTCTGCTGCAGCCCTCGGCCTGATTCTCTCCACGCAGAATGACTCAAGGGAAAGCAATCATTGTGGATTTTTAAAGGCTCCCATTAATACAACCAGAGACTGAAATGAACTTGCCTCTGATTTAAAGAGGTTTTATTTACATTCTTTTAAAATTTGTTGTTGTTTTACTTTTAAAAGTTCAAGGCCTGCTGTTTTTTCTATTTAAGAAGAAAAGCAACCAACCCAGTGGAGATACATTTCTACTGCTAAATTTGTATATAGTATTTTGGGTTTTTTGCTATGTTCCAAATAAAGTTAATAAATAAATAATAAACAGTTATGTTGATTCTGAATTTTTAAGTGTCTCTTGAATGCATTTGGTCATCTAATCATACTGCCTATGCCCTAGTGTTAAATTAAACTTGATTTAAGAGATATTCTGTGAAAGACAGCACTGTTAGCACGTTTGGACTGTAAAATGTTATGGGGTGTTGTATATCGTCTAAAACACAAAACAAACTTGCACAACGGTTTGCTTATGTAAAACTTGATTTGGGACATGTTAATAGGTTTGATTAAATTCATCGTAATCAACATCTGACACATAGGCTATTTTCTGATGAATGTAGTAGAATGTCTTATTTTTGATGACTGCTCTTTGATAAATATGGCAAAGCTTGAATATTTGTGTTGCGTCTTTCAATTCAGTGCAATTCACCAACATAAAGGTACTATTTGGTATTACCAGAAAGGTGGTTTTTTTGGGATATGTTGCAGCTCAGTGATGGAGTAAGAATTGAATGTCAGCCTCCTTATGGCCAGGAAAAATCGGTGGTTCCTGTTTGAGTCTCTTGATTGGAATGCAACACCCGCAATCACTGGAAACCACTTTTGTTTGCAAGGTGCACTGCAGCCAGCCAGGTTCTCAGACAGTTTGGCAAAAGTTTGCAAATGACTGCTGTCACATTTATAAATGCATGTTGCAATCAGTCAGTCTGCACCAATCAGAGCAACTTGTCTGCAACGGGTCTCTTTCAAACGGAGGATTTGACTCAATTTGTTGTATACTGGTTTTGTTGTAAGATTGTTGCCAAGTACCTTTGTAATTTTGCAGTTAAATTGCTATCCTGGAACAACTACCACACTGTTTATGGAGGAATTTTTCCATTTCTGTTTCGGTCTACGAGGTTCTGGCTGATTTCTGAATGTAAGCCATTAAAGGTGTGAGGCTGTTTACCAGCCGTGCATTTGTAAACGGCTTACTTTGATTTCTGTTTGGTTGCACTAAAATCACTTTGAACACAGCAAATGACCGAAAGCTGCTGCTAACCTGGCCCCCATTTTCAAATCAACCATTTCAAAGCCGAGAAGTTCATATGTTCGTTGCACGTGGTCGCGCCAGCGTCCAACCACAGTCTTCCTGGGTGTGACTGTAGCATTACTGTGCTTTTAGCTTTTGATGCTGATTTTTAGACCTATCACTACGGTGGCCCTGAGAGGCCAAACGGACTGCAAAAAGAAAAATGCTGTAAAAAGAAAACACCTGTTTTCTGAAGTTGCAGTCCGTTTGGCCTCTCAGGGCTACCGTACTATCCCTATCTTCTTCCGCAACCCCAAATTTTTACAAGAACATGTTTTAAATGTCTTGCCTGGCTTGTTCCACCATCTTGTGGCAGAAATGGGTATTACACACTACGATACAGCCCTTCAGTTTCAGTCTGTATCAGTGTAACACACACATATACATTTTGGATAAAGCAACAGAAGGGTTTTTTCACATTCTCCTGATAGCTTCAGCTCATTTTGGATTTAATTTATTTTGAAAGACAATTTGCGGAAAGTGTCTTTGAATGCATGAATGAAATAACCACAGAAAACAGAAATCCTGTTTATGTCAGTTTACACTGCTGACAGCTACTGACAGGAGCTGAAAGCAAAAAATAAAAACAAAAATAACACAGGCGACATCCTGTGGTCCCTCAGAGGTTGGAAGTCAGTCGAGCTTTACACCCTCACCACCACAACACCACAACAAAAAAGGGATGATTTTGGCATCTTTACACTGGCACTTGCCACGAGCTGTTGCTGTGAAATTTGATCTCACAGAAGGCTTAGATGTTGGTATAAAAGCATGTGTAAGTGTGTTGTGTGTACTCCCCCAGGGCTTTTGTGTCTCTTTTATAATTTATAGTGTAGATGAGGTGAAAGTGAAACCAGCCTTTTCTCTTCTGGTCCATCTTGCTGAGAGAGGCTAGGAGAGGGTAAAAAAAAGAAAGAAAGAAAAGCATATTTCTACCCATAACAACTCTCATGATCATTACTTTAGTGAATAGTCGGAGATCATAAAATGTGTAGCAGTACTTTCTACACATCTGTTATGTTTTTAGAGCTGTATGAAGTGCTTTAGTAATCAATAACATTAGATAAGGATCTGTTTAAATGCTATTCTGTTTTCATTTCCATTCTTAAAATTGCTTCCATCTTTTAGCAAACCGATCCATGTTTTCAGTTAAACAGGTTAAAGTGTACACCAGCGTTCCTGTCACACAGCCCCGACTGCGCTCATGTTACCGTGTAACTCGACACAGCATTGTGTTGTTCTGAGTGAGGGAGCTGATCAGTCGGTCTGCCCGTGTCCTGTGCCGATACTCGCCTGCTGCACCATGAGGGCTAAAGTCTCAGACATGCACAGTAAGGACTGTGTCAAAGTGGCTGTCAGAGTCCGACCGTTCAACAAGGTCAGTGTGCTGATGTTTTCTTTAATAACCACTATTTATTTTTCTTTTGTAAGCCTTTGCTGTCTGCTTTTTAAATACTCATATTTTGTATTCTTAAGGTGTGACCCACACTGATATACTGCATACTTTATTTACCCTGATAAATCCTGTTGCTTCTTTTAACATTTACAACAGTAAATATAAAATTCAAAATTCAAATTGTGTGTTATTGTGTCTCCTACCTTCCCTTGCACTTACCCTCACATTTTCCTTGAAATCTAAAATAAATGCTTTTATAAACCATTTGCTCTCCCAGCTCTTTTTAGTCTCTCTCCATCATTTCATCTTCTTTCGTTTTCTTCCTTCACTCAGAGAGAGAGGGATGCGGGCAGTCGCTGTATCATATCCATGGTTTCGAGCTCCATCACCATCCAGGATCCACGGGATTCCCAGAACCGACGGTCTTTCTGTTTCGATTATGCCTATTGGTCCCACAGCGGTTTCACAAGAGACCACAGGGGTATCTATGTGCCTGAAGAGCCAGGAGGGAGATACGCTGACCAGGTCAGGTCATAAATGAGCTGGGAGTGTGTTGTGCAAGATAAAATCTAGATGGTTTGGGCAGAATAAATCTGAATGGATATGAAGTGAGTTATAAGATTAATAAGAATTAATTTACATCTCATGAGATATCATCCATTCCCAGGACAGCGTGTTCCAAGATTTGGGAGAAGGAATATTGGAAAATGCGCTGCAGGTAGCACTCAGTCTTTATCTGATACTCTCTATCTCACGTCTCAACTCTTAATAACAAATGTTCTAAAATTACATGCGCAGGGTTATAATGCCACATTGTTAGCCTACGGTCAGACCGGCTCAGGGAAGAGTTACTCGATGATGGGTTATGGGCCTAACAAAGGCCTGATTCCTAAACTCTGCGACCGGTTGTTTCAAGCCATCAAAGAAAACCAGGAGAACAGACAATGTCAGGTGAAGGAAAAGCACAAGACGATGCAGAATGCTGTGAATGATTCAGTGTGTAAATGATCTAAAATGTGTTTCTTCTTCATGTCCCTGCAGGTCTTTTTCAGTATGTTGGAAATCTATAATGAGCAGGTGGTGTTTGGAGCAAATTCGTTTCTCTGGATATGATACATGCTACGATGCTATTATGTTTCCTGACTCTTCCTTTTCCTCCCCTCTCTGTCCAGGTGGTTGACTTGCTGTCTCGGGCGTCTCGGACTCCGGGCGGGCTCAGAGTCAGAGAGGAGCAGCAACGAGGTTTCTATGTGGAGGGTCTCCGCACAGTCCCCTGCGAGACTGCAGCTCAGGTAGAGAGATGAATGGAAAAAGGATACAAACCAAACCAATCAACTGCAGTAGCCAAAGGCTAAGGTTGCAGTCATGTGCAGTTAATATTAGAATTTTTAGGGAATTAAATGCTTTGTGATCTTCTTCAAAGAGAGCCTCACGAAGCAGTCCAGCATGAATCTGTTGGACTCGTCTGGCAGTGAGCATCAGCATTCATCAGAGTCAGAAACTAACAGAGTTAAAGACGATACGGCCATCAGTCTGAGCCCCACCACACTGGGCGATGTCGAAGCATACAAAGGGACATGCTGCTGTTTAATCTAAAAACCAAAAAATATATTTTTGTTCAGAAAAATGTGTTTGCAGGTGGAGCAGTTGATGGAGCAGGGGACGAGGACTCGAACCACTGCCGCCACCCACATGAACGCCAACAGCAGTCGATCGCACATGCTCATTATCCTCCAGCTCAAACAGGTAAAGAGGTTCTGTGCACACTTTTCCAATTTGTTAACATAATTAATACAAGAACAAACATATGTTGTATAAATCTACATTTATGTAAGTTATATTATTCCTGTCAGATCTTCTCTAAAGAGAGCATCACGAAGCAGTCCAACATAAACCTGGTGGACCTGGCTGGCAGTGAGCGTCAGCGTTCATCGGGGTCAGAAGCTGATAGGCTCAAAGAGGGCACGGCCATCAACCTGAGCCTCACCACCCTGGGCAATGTCATCAGGTGACCTGCTGTTTGACTTGATTTACTTTGCATTTACTTTAGTATTTTTGACACTCTTCCCTCATCTCTCCTCCAGCTCCCTGGCTGATGTTGCGGTGGGGAAGAAGGTTGTCCATATTCCTTACAGAGACTCGGCCCTCACAAAGTTGCTGCAGTCTGCACTGGGAGGCAACAGTCGCACTGTTATGGTATCGGACACTCATTTGATACGAGGTTGAGTCATTGGAAGATGCTTTTAAAGTAAATTGAATATATTTGTTTTTGAGATTGCCACATTGAGCCCTGCTGATATCTGCTATGAGGAGTCTCTCTCCACGCTGCGCTATGCTGAGAGGTACAATAAGCACTGTAAAGTCTTCTGGATATTTCCCTTCTGCTCTATAAGTAACATATTTAATATACGTTTTATACTTTAGTTCTTTTTGGCCTCTCCTTTATGTCGTTCTACACCTAACTTCTTGTCCCTCCACCTTTTCCACTTCTTCAGGGCAAAGCGTATCCAGAACCGTGCAGTGGTGAACGAGAGCCCCACCGAGCGTCTCGTTAAAGAACTAAAGGCAGAGAACGCCAGACTGTTGCAGCGTCTGAGCCGTCTGGGCCAGGAGGGACGCAGGGCGAATGACGAGACCAGTAAGAATCAGCGTTTGAATGCAGCAGAATGGGATTCAGAGCTGTTGACAGGTCGTCTCGTATCTTTGTGTGTTCAGAGGAGCTCCGTCAGCTGCTGACCCACAATGAGCTTCAGATCAGAGCCATTCAGACTCTATGGGAGCAGCATGTGCAGGAGGCCCTGAAAGACTGGGAGCAACAGTATGCTAACATCACACAGGTGCATGCATAGATACATACGTAGATGCAGACATGCAAAACACACAAGCAAAGGCTGCAAATGCATTTGATGGAGGTTTTGTATGTAGTGTCTTTAAATGGATGTTTCTTGTTTCCCTCGTCCTCACTGGCAGGAGAGGAGGATGATGCAGATGCATCCCTACATCCTGAACATCAACGAGGATGCTCAGCTGTCAGGGGTGGTGAAGCTTTTCATCCAGGAGGGTTAGTCCATCTGAATCTCTCTGTATCTGTGCCACGAGATGTATGGTTCTCTCCCTGATAGAAGAAGCTACTAAAGGTGGACAATACCAGATAGTTAAATGGCTTAAACAGCTTAATGTAACAAACATGTCCCGCAGATTTTAACATGTTTGGTGAAATGTTAATCTTTTTATCTTTAGGGGAATGGGACATCGGACTGTGTGACTCCTCCCCACGGTCCATTTGTATCAAGGGTCTAGGGTGAGTTTGCCATCATTGCAAAGAATAAGAAAATTGTCTTTTCGTCTGTATGCATATACACTGATGGGGTCTAAATATTCTTTACATCAGTTTTCTGTCTTACATAAAATTGTTTGTGAGGGGCAGCCAATCAAAAGCTGTTAAAGGCTGGGTATCCATAAAATGAGAGGAGATCCATTAATAACATAAGTAAGGATTATCTTGATGTGTGAATAATGCAAACAGACTGCAGCAGAGTCCAATACTAAAAATATACGGAGCTGGGAAGAAGTCGGATCAGTCCCCTTTTTTGTTTTTATGTGCGTTAGGATCCAGGAACGTCATGCTGTGTTCAGGAATGAACAGCGCAGGGTAACGCTGACCCCGATGACAGGAACAAAGGTTATTGTAAATGGCAATCCTGTTTCCCAGGCAACAGAGCTGCAGCACCTGGTGGGTCTTGACTCAAACCTCAATTATATGATGTGGTTGTGTGACATGCTGTTAAAGTATACACTATATATATATATATATATATATATATATATATATATATATATATATATATATATATATGTATTAGGGGAGCAACGATACTCGTATCGATATTGAACCATTCGATACAGTGCTTTCGGTTCGGTACGCATATGTATCGAACAATACAACATTTGTAATTTATTTTATCAACTTTCCTTCTGACGATGCTGTCTGTGTTGAGCGCTCAGTGAATCAGCGTTCGACTACTCCGCCTAGGCTGCACTGTCGAGCGCAGATCCACTGAGCGTTCAACGTAGACAGCATAGTCAGAAGGAAGAGCGCAGGGCAAGCTAGCAGACAGAAGTTAAGCTCTCCTTGCAACATGGCAAATTGAACCTCCCCCACCCTTATTCAGATCTGGCGTTTGGAATTATTTTGGTTTTCATGTGACGTATGACCCTGAAGGTAAGCGCATCATGGACTAAAGTAAAACAGTATGTTGGATGTGCCACGCAATGCTCAATTACATGGGTGGGAACTAGTGTGTTAGTACAGTTAGCTCATTAACGTGTTAGCCGTCTAGCCCTACGCACGGGGCGATCAGGGGTAGCTCGTTAACGGAGATTTGCCACGTTGTGGCGTGAACATCATTTCAACGAGATTAACGCTGACAGCTCTAGTGGGAACACAACGAATATGACTGCACATTTACGCCGACATCATCCTAGTGCAAAGACAAGTGGAAGCAGACAAAAACAACAAGCATGCATGCTACAAACTTTACCCGAGTCATTTAGACAGCCGTTAGCACATGATTCTCCTTATGGGGACCTGATATGTTTAATATTGTGGCGAGCTCAGACAAGGAAGAGACGGAGGTGTCGTTTGGTCTTGCTTCCCGTGAGCTAGCCAGAGAGCACAGCCGTTTATTGACATCTGCAGAAGAACACTGCCGCTAGCTAACTGCTCAGCGCGGCAACCGCACAGCAACAACACACAGGGCGCCCTCTGACCCCGGAAGGACACACCGTCGCAGCGAGAGGGCGTCACCCGTCACTATGGCAACATAACTGTACAAACAGAACCCCGAACAGCCCTGACTGGCTACATAACCCCCACCTAAGGGGTCAGTCGTCCCCGACGACCCCATTACCCCACACAAAGTCCTGCAAATGTCCAGGTGCCTTCTTTTGGCGCACCGGCCGGTCACGACCGGCGGGGGAAAAGTCACTCGGGTCAAAACATGGGGTGCCACCATCATCCCACTTCTGACACCAATGTGGCGAGCTCAGACAAGGAGGAGACGGAGGTGTCGTTTGGTCTTGCTTTCCGTGAGCTAGCCAAGGAGCACAGCCGTTTATTGACATCTGCAGAAGAACACTGCCGCTAGCTAACTGCTCAGCGCAGCAACCGCATAGCAGCAACAACAACAACACACAGGGCGCCCTCTGACCCCGGAAGGACACACCGTCGCAGCGAGAGGGCGTCACCCGTCACTATGGCAACATAAACAAAACATAATTGTACAAACAGAACCCTGAACAGCTACCCGGTTGTTCAGTGATGACGCCACGAATCCTACTTCCGGGTCTAAAGTAGTCTGCGTTTAATATGACTTTTGTGTTGTTAACATGTTTAATGTTATGTATTTTCTTCTATTTGATCTCAAAAAGCTCCTAAAACAGTCAGTGATCCCTGTTGACCTCCCTCGGCTTTTATTACCACTAATCATTTATTTAAGCTCAGTTTTTAAAACCTTAGGATGTAACTACAGCCCAGCCCATGCAGCAGTATATGAATGACTAACCTCGTATTGTGGATGGATTATCTCAGTTGTTCTCCTGGCTGAAGTTTGGTCCTTTTACAGCATTCTGCCATGCGATTACATTTGTTCCTGACCACCGAGAACACTCATGTTAACTTTTATCTAGTGGAAAAAAAGTTAGCTTGTTTATATTATGCTAACATAGCTGTGTCGCAAGCGGTCACGTAGCACATCATTATATACCAGCTAGCCAAACTTCAGTAACCCTACAAACGTCACTGCTGTTTAGTTTTCTGTCTTCATTTATGCTGGAAGTGATAGCAGAGCTGTACGTTTTAATTTGTTTCCAAAACCCCGCAGTCAGGACATGCTATATTGTATTTAGATAGAAGCTAGCGAGCTAACTCCCTGCTAACTTCTAACTCCGTTAAATGTCATAAATTCCGTTTTCATGGATGCCTGGATGTTACACCTGGTAGAGCAGAACGCTGATCATTTTATTAAAGATGAAAGACTTTAGACAGTTTTTCAACTCTCAGTAATGCCATAGTGATCGTTTGATATATGGACCTGCAGCTGAGTTTAGACCCAGACACGGCTAGTGACGTCAGACTGAACAATCGGGGGTCAGTCGTCCCCGACGACCCCATTACCCCACACAAAGTCCTGCAAATGTCCAGGTGCCTTCTGGAAAAGTCACTCGGGTCAGAACATGGGGTGCCACCATCATCCCACTTCTGACACCAATGTGGTGAGCTCAGACAAGGAGGAGACGGAGGTGTCTTTGGTCTTGCTTCCCGTGAGCTAGCCAGGGAGCACAGCCGTTTATTGACATCTGCAGAAGAACACTGCCGCTAGCTAACTGCTCAGCGCGGCAACCCCACAGCAGCAGCAACAACAACACACAGGGCGCCCTCTGACCCCGGAAGGACAAACCGTCGCAGCGAGAGGGCGTCACCCGTCACTATGGCAACATAAACAAAACATAACTGTACAAACAGAACCCCGAACAGCCCTGACCCGCTACAATATGCTGCTGAGAATATAGCCCAGAAGAAGCGTATAGTATTGCTTTTATTTTGGAAAGAGCCATTTCTCTGTAATAAACTCTCTTTTCCAAAGATGAGTGATTCCTCAATCAGATACAGGGCTTGCAAAATCACTAGCCCGACGTCCCGGGGCTAGCGATTTTGCCAGTCGGGCTACCAAAATCTATCTCTGCCCTGCCCCTCGGGCTATTGTAGGAAAAATATATGTCAATGCTTTTGCATTCTTTCGGAAATGTAGCTGGGTAATTATGTCATTGGCATCGGTGAGCCACTGTCAATATGTGACATATTGAAGTCGCGTTTGAATTTGCGCTTGTTTTTTGCTTTCACTTTGCAATCACGTGAACTGTGTATAGAGAGCGACAGCACTGATTGGTGAGTGATGATAATTTGTGCACCAATTCCTCTGACATCGTCTTATCAATCGTTAGCTTACTATGCAAACATGACAAGTGAAATCTCCCGCAGCAAGCTTAAACATATGAGAGGTTGATCGTGCAGAGAATCGCTGACCGTTATGTGTGTGTGTGTGTGTGTGTGTGTGTGTGTGTGTGTGTGTGTGTGTGTGTGTGTGTGTGTGTGTGTGTGTGTATAAAAGCAGCAGGATATATATTTTAGTTCTGCTGAGCCAAATAAGACAGGTCAGGGTGAAGAAGTGACAGCCAAAGAAAAGCTTACCACAAAACGGAAAAGTTATGACAAATCAGACTATAAGGCAAAAAGAAAGTGCAGCTTTATGGTTTCATGGACAAAAGTATTTCTGTGGCTGCAATATGACGAGCTATATAACCGGGGCTGCACATAAGTGGTCCGCAGGTGCGCATTGGCAGTCAAAAAACAAACAAAAAAAACCGCGCACAAGATATGAAGTTGCAACGCGTGTTTGCATACATAAGATTTTCTGGAGGAGGACAGACATTTGTTTAGAACTCTTAAAGATGTCGAAGAAGCTCCTTTAAGCAATTACTTTGGTGTTCCTCCACCTCCAAACAAATGTCAGAAGGAGTCCGAACCACAAAAGAAGCACGTATTCTCGGAAAAGTGGTTGCAGGAGGTGAGCTGGCTTCAAACAAATGATGAACGCACAGAGATGTGGTGCAGAATGTGCCGTGAAAATTCCACTCTAGCGGACAAAAACACTGCCTTTTATATGGACGCAAACGCGCGTTGCAACTTCTTATCTGGTGCGCGTCTTTTATTTTGACAGCGAATGCGCACATGCGGACCACTTATGTGCACCTGTATAAATAACATAATGTTCTGCCGGGTGTGTTGTTGGTTTTCTCTCGATTTCTGAGTCGACAAGCGCCTTTGTTACTGGGACCAGTCATTTTAAGAAAGGCCCCCATTAGAACCCACGAGAAATGCAAGAAATGCATTATTGCTCAGTCTGCAATATCTTTCCCAGAACAAACACCAATTGCAAATAACATACTAAAAATAAACCTGAAAAATCTGTTTAGAACAGCGTACTATGTTGCAAAGAGTGAACTACCACTGGCAAAATTTAGCAGTCTTTGCAAACTTCAAAAAGCAAATGTCCTAGATCTTGGTTCCACTTGCCTCTTACCTGTGACTTCAGCGGAAATTTCAAATTCAGGATCTGACACAGACTGATTCATGTCCTACACCGTTCTTACAAGTTCATAGAAATTTCTGTTCAATTAGAACCAAGTATTTGAGTTGATGATTGTAATTTTTATACAATGTTGTAATTTGTTTTTCAACAATTTTTTGATTAATGTTTTGTTTCCTTTACAATATTATACTTTAATGTATAATATTGTAAAGGAAACAAAACATCAATCAAAAAATTGCTCTCTTTTTTATTCGGGCTACTTACATTAATTTTGGGCTACCAAAAACTGAAGAGTCCCTGCCCAATGGGCTACCAGGGATTTTGAAATTTTGAGAGCCCTGAGAGATATTTATTTTTTTAATTACTTTTGTTTCAGCCACATTAAATTTAAAAACTGTACTTTTGAGTTAAAATATATATTTATAATTTTAATAAATGACAAATTAAAAAGGCATGAACATTTTTTTTGTATCGAAAAAATATCGAACCGTGACACCAAAGTATCGAACCGAACCGTGAATTTTGTGTATCGTTGCACCCCATATATATATATATATATATATATATATATATATATATATATATATATATATATATAAAATTTTATTTTCTATTTTTATCAGGATCGCCTCATTCTGGGTTCCAACTGCACCTACCTGTTCATTGGTTATCCATCAGAGAGATGCGGGGATGACTGGAGTCGCTATGATTACGATTACTTCCAGTCTGAACTGGCTGCAGCTGAGGGCATCCACCTGGGTGAGCGGGAGCGTGAATAACTCCACATGAAGGGCTCTTATTTTTTGAAGGAAACTCACTGAACTCATTATATTATTCATCTGCATGTGTTTAGGTGAGTCCAGTGCTGGATCGAGTCAGACAGACCCCAGTCTGCTAGCTGTCTTCTTTGATTACATCAAATTGATGCCCATGGTGGCTGAGGCCAACCAGATGAGCCAGGAATTGAGCAAGGTAACGCACGGCCTCAGGGTGAAAAATTCTGTATTTAACGTGTTCCTAGAAAGCAAATATCTTTGGTTTCCTGTGCGTCATCAGATTCTGGCCATGTGTTGCATTGTGTTTGCAGGATGTGGAGTTCAAGCTGGAGATTAAAAATCTGGCACTGTCAGATTCAAAAGGCCACGATCTAGAGAAAGACATCGTTGTCAGAGTCACCTCCAAGGGAACCAAGCAGGTTGGTCTGTCCCTGTATGGGGTGTTTTGTCACTTGTGTAAACTGCAGCGTCACTTTGAAAGATTACAATCTTTGCATGCACTCTGCAGGTCTGGATGTGGTCCAAAGCCAAGTTTATTAACCGCAAGTTTCTGATGGAAGAGGTTTACCAGCAGCATTTGGCAGAGCAGAGCGGAGACAATGTATGTTAGCTGAAAGAACAATGTTGATGTTTGTTGGCTTGTATTTACCTTTACATCTCTGCAGATGTTTAAGCTAAATAAAACATGTGCATATTCGCTATATTGACATCACATATTGTTAGGATGGTCAGCACTTCCTAAAGCATAAACCTTTCCAGACCAGTAACTCTATTATTAAGACTTTTATGTTTTTAGGAAGTAGCCGGGCTGTCAACAGTAACATTACCCAGAGATAAAGACCCATTCTGGGATCCAATTGAGCCTCTTCTCCTGGGCACTGCCCACCTTTGGCTCCAATCGTTGGCCTTCCGCATCCCTCTGGAAGAGCAGCTAGAGGTACAAACTGATATACTCCATACACACTGGCATCTTCATCTAAAAGTATTTTCAGATGACAGTTAAATAAAGTCAGTGGGTGATGATCCCGGTCTGCAGGTGTTGGGGTCAGAGGGCACAGAGGAAGGCATTCTACAAACACAGCTGGTCCCCTGCTCTTCAACTGGACTGTATGTCACACATGCACAGACACACAAACCTTCAGTGCACAGGTATATCAGTAACTAGACGTTCGCACTTCCCAGCCCTCTGGGTGAGGATGACATCCTGATTGACCCATCAGAGATACTGGGTAGACGACTAGACTTCCAGCTGGTCCTGGATCAGTGTTGTGGCTTACGCTGGATCAGAGAGGCCCGCAATCGAGGTGTTCAAATTGGGTAAGGCACATGTGGCTCGGTGTAGAGTACACTGCATTAAATCCTATTGAACTTGGAGATGGAAACCTGGTATATATTTACTGGCACATAGAGGAAGCTGTTAATAATTTTAGCTTTTGAAAAGGTACCGTGGACTCAAGCGTGAAGTCTCCAGTCGTGTCGTCTTCTAAAAGAAGAGAGTTGTGAAATGCTTTCTTCTCTCCGACATTACTTAATCTCCTTACTCTGTTAGTTTCAGGTTATTTGACTGCAGCCAGCCTCTGTACACTCCAGCTGTTTGGCACAACGTGAATCCTCTGCTGGATCACAGAGTCCACTTTGCCTCCCTCCACACCTCCCAGCGTCTGCTAGACTTCCTGCAGAGCAGCGCTGTGGTGCTGGAGCTCTGGGGCCTTCAAGGTGAGGATGGACATTTTTTTTTATTTATGCCTGAAGTAAGTGAACTCGGTGATAGCTATTATAACAACAAGACATGCTTAATTTTTTTTTAATGAACCGCGTGGGATTTAAACATTTAAACTGGATTTTAATTTCATCGTGTGTACATTATACATCACATTATTAAATTTCTCATGCAGGTTTAAGAAAAGCCACAGCTGAAATAGAAAGTTTCTTTAAAGATTGCTGCTCAGTGCTTGTTTTCTATCCCAGAGGGCTGCACTCAGTTGAAGTCTTCACTGGAAGGTGTGCGGATGACTGCAGATGGCATCTTCATCATTGATGAGTCGAGTCCAACAGAAAACACAGTGAGTTAGACGTTTAGGAGTAATTGTTTACGTTGACATGAGTTATTTATTGTCTTATTTATTCAGTGTGTGTGTGTTTTATCACAGCCTGTAGACCCCTCAGACCTCAGTTGTTCAGTAAGAGCTCTTCAGCAGGACTTAGATGAACTAAAGAGTGTTAATGAATCACTGAGGAAAGAGAATCACAATCTGAGGGAACAACTCAACACAGCCAGGAATGGTAACAAAAACATACACGAGTTTGTGGTTTCTATTCCAAAGAACTGAAAAAACTACCACACATATGACTGTGGAAGCTTTTGACTTGCTCTTTCAGAAACACACACACACACATTTCTCTCTTCTGGTTTTAGGTGGCGAGGGTGCGCGTAGTCGCTCGGTGCGTCCCAGCTGTGATGCAGAGTTTGCCCGCGCTCTGAAGGTTTTCTATCACAGCATGACTTCAGTAAGAGGTCAGCTGCAGCGCCTGCGCAGACACAGGCCCAGCGTACGTATTCACGTGTTATCTTCTGTCTTAGCATGAGTTAGTGTTACTACAATGTGGACATGCTTAAAATCCTTAATATAGTGAATCAGCACAGAATGAAATATTGACCTGTTTCATCACATTATTAGCTCCAAGAGTGAACAATTTTGAGCTGCTGCGTTTAGAAAATTACATCTGTGCTGTAGTTATTTGGCTTATGCCTCCAATAGATGCATGATAACTGAAGCACTGTGAAGGATCTGCAAGTGTTATTGTTGTGAAAACTGTTTAAGGTCTGGCCAAAAGAATTATTGACTTTAAACATTAGGAATATGGTTCCGAGAACTGGAGCTGATGTCATAGCAATTTACCAAAACGTCTGATAAATTGCACTTGAACAGATTGAATCCTGCCCATGGATATAACACTCCTGTTTGCACATCATGCAGGATGTTAATGTGCGTGCTTTCCAGGAGGAGTCAGACCTGCTGGGGCTCAGACTGTTTGTGGATGAGCAGAGTCATTTGCTGAGAGACTTCTCGGAGCAGCTGGAACAGAACGTCTCTACGCTCAAACAAGATGTGGCCGCCATCGTCCGCCGGAAACGAGAACGATCAGGAATCTGGTCTTGACCAGGGTTTTTATTTTTTAGGAAAGTATACATTTATGTTGACACTTTAATTTCGCAACTCTGCAGATATTCCGGTTGAGGGTATGAAATGAGCAGAACCAGGTTCTTACAAACTAAATTCTTTGTTTGGGTAAATAAACATGACGGGGATCTGTTATGATGTTCCTCATTTTCTGTCATATACACTTTTCAAATGGTACATGCTTGTGTTAAAGCTGGAAAAGCCATTGAGATAATGAGGTACCTGAGAGCCAAAAGCCTTTCTACTCTTAGCTCTGAAGGATGTCACCGAGAGCAGATATCCCGAATATCTAATATCTGAGGCACAGCAGCTCCACTCACTTGTTTTAACAGTCAAATTGACTGAGGGGCTACAAACGCTCAGTGAAATCAAAAGGGGCTGTTTTGAAATAGAAATCATGAAAAGCTACTCTAATGGAGTTTAAGAATGAGAGCATGGGGTTAGAAATGAGGCCTAACAGATTAGAATTAGTTCCCATTAATGAACACTACATGCACAGTGGACCATGTTCAACACAGTTTATACATAAAAGTATTCACCATATTTTCTGTAATACTTCCTTCTTACTTTTTGTCTGTAAAATGAAGTTTATTCCGGTGGATTATTCTTTTAGTACGCTTGGTTAACAACAATGTATATGCAAGTCTACTATTAAGAGTAACTACAAGTGAAGTCTGTTTAAAAAAAGTTTATTAGACTGCATGTATAAGACATCGTTACAGTTCCAAACTGCAAATAAATTAAAAGGCAAAGACAGCTCAAGTTTCAAAATTCACAAAATTCTTACCGGTACACATTTTTTTTAAGCATCATTAAAAATCCATTGTGTTTTCAAGCTAATGTAGTTCACTTTGAAGCTGTATCACTGGATGACAGAAATCTTCCTCGTGTCTCACTGTGGGGGGATTAATGTTAACGTAAGTGAACAAGAAAAAGACGTCAAACAGCTGAGCGAGATCGTCTCTCCTTATGTTGAGTTTATGACATATTTACGACAGCGTCTCTCACTGCAACGTCTAATTTGGAGGTAAAAAGCACAACGGTTGATGTTTGTAAGCAGTCACGACTTGTAAGAGTACAGACAGTTGCTGTAGGTCCAAAAAAAGATTAGCGTGGGCACATTTACAGGAGGAGGCAGATGTGAGGCAGATTAGTCATCACACAGTACAGAATTTATATAAAAAAAAAAAAATCTATGTACAAGAAATATGCAGGCAGACAAGCTGACAGCACATAGCTGCTCATGAGAAATTTAAAACAAGACAGAGATGAGAGGAGCGAGGCAACGGCGAAAGGCAGAGGATAAGCCTGGCTTCAACTGAAGAGGTAGACTGTGGGATAGACAGACAGTTACAGATATTCTACTGCGAGGAGAGATTAGATTCTTCACAAATAAGCACCACATGTTATTTTTTATCAGAACTGATCATGTTAGGTTTAGGATCAGTATCTTCCTTTCCAAAAACAGCACCCAGTAACATGAATGTACAGTTACAGAGAAAGCTGAGGGTCCAGGTGAGGTAGGTTAATCAGGTTTCTAGGATTAGGGACCAAACGGAGCTGCATGAACATGAAACAATATTCATTTCTTTTTGCTCAGAGTAGAAAATAAATGTCAGAGAACAAGAAGCACAATGACTGAACATTTCTTTTTCTAATGTTGGACTGTCAGTTGTCTGCACCTCTTTGGGCAAGTTTGAGCCTGAGGAACAGGACTACAGATGATCACAGAGCATGTACAGGAGCAGTTTTGGTGTTTATATAGTACATTGGTGATTATTGCATTTAAAAAAAAAATCCACTTCCTTCCTAAAGGAAACCCATGCTATCTGTTTCCATTTAAAATTACAGTCCTATCTGTGCAGTCATGGGGTTTGAATGCACAGATTTTGTTCTTACCTAACGTCAATCAGCTTTCTTTTTCAGAGGGTAAAAAACACGGGGTTGTATGTTAATCGGATTGTAAAGCCACAGGAGGCATATTTTAGATTTTTACCTGCTATTTCGTTTATTCTTATAAAACACTGAGCATGCATTTGTTTTGTAAATTATTATCTCGCTTGTTTAAAAAGTTGCCTTATCGCTTCTTTGCCAGGTTCAAGTCTCAGTGCAGACAGTTCAGAAGACAGTATAAAAGATGGACGTGGCTTCCAGTTGTGAATGCCTTAAACCTGCAATCTGTTTTACGGTCACCAGGGGGCGATAGCTGTGGTGGCCAAAAAAAAAAACTTGGGGCTTTCTGAGCTGACCTCTGGAAACACTTTCCTGCTGGGTTTATTGTTTCAGCCACTTATTTGAGATAACGCTGAATAAAAATAACTTGTGATATAATAATAATAATGATAACTTGTGATTGACAGGATGTTAGCCAATGAGTGTAGTTTCACAGTCAAACAGGCTTTCTTCCATCACATCCAGTTTCAACAGCAAGATGGCTCATCGAAGCTTCAAGGTGGGACTTCACAAACTAGAGGGTGATTACATGGTAGCTATGTCCATCTTTTATATTGTATATGTCAGTACTAAAATACTTTTTTGGCTGACTTGAAATAAATATCTGTGCATGTAAATAAGAGCACAGATCATCCATTACAGCCATGGCCATATTTTATCACTCTCTGAAACAACCCTTTTACATTCATGGGTGGAAAACGTTTCGTCTTTCAGCTCCCTCCTTCAAGCTCCAGGGGAGAATTAAAATTTAAAAACACATCACTAGTCATGTCTCCATTTCCCACTTTCTCACACACACACACACACACACACACACACACACACACACACACACACACACACAATGAAGCTTCCAGCAGCAGAAGACAAACTTCACAGTATAAAAATAACTCAAACCACAGAGAGGTCCATAATTTCACATTAGGCCCATTTTTTTTTTTCCATTTTCTGAAGCCACGCAAAGACAAACATCACTCATTAAGAGCTGCAATCCAGAGCAGTGGAGTCGGCAGTGTTCGGGTATTTAACATTATATTCATATAGGTCCTGAAAGATGATCACCAATATATGGATGATGCCACTATCAACCAGACTGAGAGACACCTTTGTCAGTGTCTGTTTGTTTCCATTGCTAGCTTTCCCTGAATAATGTCTCGAGTGTCACCAAAAGAGGACGGGGATTTATTCCTGTTGGCTCAGCCTGTTGAATCAAGCAGACCAGGTGTAAACTCAAAATAATTCAGTGAGCAAACTGGTCCACCTTACAGCCAAACTCCATCAAAATTTAGAGGAGTCATGGTTACTGCTCACAAACAACCACAGATTACCAACACAGCACTCAGAGACACATTCCCCATCCTCAAAAAAGAAAACAAACAGACTGCTGTGTATCTGCTTCACGTCTCCATCCTTTCACTGATCCAGTGTCTCAGGCGTTGGTGCCTTCGTTCTCAGCCGCTCGGCCGTCACTCGCCGTCGTTCCATGTGTGATGAGGGTAGGTGGGGCCACAGACACGTCTCGCTGGCTGCTGTGCCTCGAGTGGCTGTCTATCTGATGGAGGCTGCTGTGAGTGGAGAGCGGATGGTCGAGACGTGGATTGCTGCCATGGAAACTGCGGTCCTCTGTACCTCGGTAAACCACGGTATCGCTCCTAATGGGGGAGAAGCAATGAAAGAAAAGCTGAGCTTCGACTGATTCACATCGTCTGAGAGGAAGCGAGAGCATCGTGGATTTCCTGGTCTACCTGTCATCTCGAGTGCGCCGCAGGCTGCTGTGGTAGCTGGCCTTGCTGTGGACGCTGCTGGCCTTACTCCTGGTGGAGGAGGGGTGCCCGTGGTGAGTTCTAACTGGTTCATCAAGGTCGTCTAGAACAGCTAAGTGGGTGGAGGAGGCGTGTGTGGAAGTGCCCTACAGGAGGAGAGATCAAACACATGTAGCGCTGAAACTGCTGAGATTAAAGATTTAATTTAACACCCGACACCTTTGCACAACGTGTAAATATTCAAATCCAAAAGGCTACATCTTGCTCAAGGCTCTGTGTACATTACTCCAGCATAAGACATTCATATCTTTTGGATCTTGACTCAAATCTAATGACAAGATTATGCCTCAGGTTATTACTTTTATTATTATGATAGACACCTAGCCAGGTTCACAGGGGTTGAAAAGCTTCATTGATGATGCGGCTAAATATTATCAATGAAGAAATATGTACATGAAAACACCAGTCTGATTAAACCTTTATCAAAGCTTCTAGATGCTGACAAAAAAAACAGGCATACAAGATACGATCTTTCATTTCAGTCTTCTCTTCCTTTCATCAGTTTCAAAAGAGCTCAGAGCCGTAACCTGTGGACATTCATGTTTGGACTTTACTCCCACGGCACTTATAAATAATTCCATCCTGCTTTTCTTTTTGCTGTTGTCTTTGCAGTCCTACCTGAGTGGATGTCCCTCTGGACTTCCTAACGATGGGGGTGTTGGGCTCACGCAGCAGAGACTGAGCAAAGTCCGGCTGCTCTTGCAGCACCTGGCGAGACTCATTCACCCCACTGCTGCAGAAAGAAAAAGGTGAAGGAGGTCAGAGGTGGGACGTTTTTACAGACAGGGGACAAGTCGCAGATAAAATTGGAACCAAGAGACAGATTGGGGGGGAAGGAGTAGGAAGACATTTAGGATTCAAGAAGAAATACGGGAAAGAGACAAGAAAACAGTTGATAAGGACAGGATAGGGAAGATTAATGATTAATGTGCTGTTGTATAGCAACGTGTCACCACAAAAGGAAATACAGTAGAGATACTAAACCCCTGAACAACTGAGAGGGAAGGAAAATTGCATGTGAAACAAAGTACAAGATACTTCTAAGTGCATAATTAGTTGTGATAAACTCAATTTAGTTCTCTCGAACATTAAAAGACACACAGTCTCTTCTTACTCTTTGCGCCTGCGTCCATGTAGGAAACTGGCCCACTCAAAACAGGTCTTCTTGCTGCCCACCCAGAAAACAGAGGGGATCCCCACCACGAGCATCATCAGATATTTAATTAGGAACAAAACCATGGCCGGTCTGCTGGTCTCCTCAACCTGAAAATAAAATAAAATGCACACGTTAATGATGCAATCATCTAATCAGCACAGCATGGAGTTTTTAAAAACACAGAGTAAAGTGAAGCAGAGGAGAGAGAGGAAGAGAACAAAGGCTTCGATTATAATGTAGGCAGACTAATTGTGCAGTAGAATATTTCCTCGACAACTAAACATGAAAGATATGCTAAAAGCTTTGGATCCACCAACATTTAACAAACTAAAATCCTCAAACATAATCTAGACAAACCGAGCTGTTTGATGGATCTCCCAGCAGAGGGCAGAGATTTGGTTCTTGGTCCTCTTTTTATTGAATATAAATCCCAGATTTTTAAGAAATACAACAAACAGAACGCTGTGTCGTTCAATCCCAAATCATGGTTTCATCTGTCCGATAAAATTTCACTATGGGAAACCATCAAACACACTGAGTACTGTGTTAAAAAGTTTTTGTGGAAAACCATTATATTGTACTTTAGGTGGTCTTTAAGATATCAAATTCTTTAAATTTGCTTTTTAAATTAAGATAAAAATCTTCCTAAAGATGCTATTAAAGCAATTGACCCTCACTACAGTG